GTGAATCAATCCCTTATCTAAATTTACATGGGTTTCTGCACGAGTAATGTCTTTCACATCAAAATAACTGATTTATCAGAAGTTCATCAAGGACTTTTTCACCAAGGTAAAGTAACCCATTTCTCCCAGGTCCTCTTTCTTTAATTAAAATACCCTGGACATAACACAACAAAGAACCATAGAAAGATTCTGGAAGAGTAGAAAGAAGGCAGTGGACTGCCTAGGGACAGTCTTGATGAACAGCATGCCAGTCCTTTCCCTGGGTTTCCTTATTGCCTCTCATATTTCCCAGACAGGGTGCAGCAGAATCCTCCAGCATAGAATCACCAATAGGTAGATTTTTTTTAATATTTCAAGAAAAAAAAAAAGCCTGTGCCAAAAGACTGAGAAGACAGTGGCCTAATAGAAAATGAATTTTTGTCAGTACCAATCTTACTCCAACTGAATGCCAAAGGAAAAACCACACCTTCTTCATCAAAGTTGAGAAGTGATTTGTGCTTCCCCACATATTTGTGAAAAAAAATAAACATAAATAAATTCTCAGCAAGCTAGTAGCAGAGAGAAACCATCTCAACTTGACAAAAAAAATCTACGAAAAAGATGGAGATGACATCATACTTAATGCTAAAAGACTAAATGCTTCCTCTCTGAGATAGAGAACATGACAACTCTGGAAGTTCTAGCCACTGCAGTAAGGCAAGAAAAAGAAGTAAAATGCATAAAGACTGGAAAGAAAGAGAGAAAACAGTTTATGTTGGGAAATTATATGAATATCTACATGGACAACCCTAAGCAAACTACAAAAGTATTACTGGAACTAGTAAGTGATTTCAGCATGGTCACAGGGTGCAAGATCAACACACAAAAGAAAAACTACATATTTAAAAAATAACAATAAAATTGTGGAAACAAAGTAAAACACATTGCCATTTATAATAGCTCCAAAGGAAATAAAATACTTAGGTATAAATCTAACAAAATATGTACATAATCTATGTGTGGAAAACTAGACTACTGTGATGAAAGAAATCAAAGAAGCCTAAATAAATGAGGAAACATACAGTGTTTATGAATTAGGAGATTCAACATAGTGATGATATAAGATCTTTCTAAATTGATCAACAGGTTTTAGGCAGTTTTCAACAAAATCTCAGAAAAGTCTTTGTAGACATAGACAAACTTACTCTAAAAATTATATTGAAAGGCCTGGGCCATATAATAAGTTTTTTAATCTTGAAAAATAAAGAAAATAGGAGTGATTATTCAGTATTAATTTTTATTGTGTAGGTACAGAAATCAAGACAGTGATATTGGTAGGGACATAAACACACAGATTGGTGGAACAGAATAGATAAACCAGAAATAGACCTTTAACAATAAGCCCAACTGATTTTTGACAAAGATATATAAGTAGTTCAATGGAGGAAGGATAATTTTTCAACAAATGGTAATGGATCAATTAGACATTCACAGGCAAAAGAAAACTTCAGTCTAAGCCTGACAGCTTATACAAATACTAACTCAAAATGGATTACAAACTTAAAACACAAAAATAATTTTTTTAGGAAATAAAAGAGGAAATTTTTTGGAATCTAGGGCTAAGCAGCTCTTAGGCTTGATATCAAACATATGATCTATAAGATGATAAACTGGTGAATTAGACCACATCAAATCTGTGAAGACTGGTAGAAATGGCTCTTTTATCTAATGCACAGAAAACAGTACAGAGAACTCACAGGAGTTCCCTACCTTTAGATCAGGCTCAAAAATTACCCATCTAATTTCTACTTTGGAGAAAGGAGTGACATAGACATACCTGTTCTTGGAAAACCATCATCCAGGACTGCTTATAATCAAACCATTCCCAAACTTAAAAATCTAAATCACTGAACACTCTTTTGACAGTCTAAAATTCTTCCTAACGAGATTACACCTTAAATATAATTTTTTTCCTCAGAACAAACTAAAAGGAAGATATGCCCTCAAGTCAGACATACTAAAATTCCAGTGTGGATCATGCACATGCAGTATCAGATGTGACTGAACCTAAATTCCACTAGGGCCTATTGTTTTCTGATGGGAGTCACTTCCTCAGTGAACCTGTAAACACAATAACTGACTCCATTTTAATCCACTTTTTAATTATTAATGCACTCATTTTCCTTTTACAGTTTTCTAAGTATGAGTTCTATTAGTTTTTGCTACCTAAAATGTCAACCAGAATTTACCTTAACATGGAGGACATGTTAAGGGAAGCAGCTCCCACACCTTAAGGTCACACTAAAGAGAAAATATCTCTTAGATGAGAAGAAAGCATTTGCTACTGGGATCATCTGCCTTTCAACAAACGTTTGAATCCAGAACTTGGCAACATCAGTTAGAGAAAAATAAGTGCACAGGTTTAAACTTGCTTACCTTAATTCTCCTCTCTCTCCTGTAATAGGGCAGGTGGCCACTCAGGATTGTAGACCAAAGTTTCCCACCAGAGAATGCAGTTCCATGCATTTTCCTAATTGTTCCCCTTTGATCTTCAGGTTTTAAAAAGTTTTTCCAACCATATGAACTAGACTTATTTAGTAATTACATATGTCATTAACATTACCATTTTTTATTTCCTTTTCGGCCAGGGTAGATTTTAACCAAACATCCAGAATTATTATGCTAGGAAATCCCATAAAACACTCTCTCAGTTGCTGCTGTAAGTAATAAAGTTACAGAAATATGAAAAAAATGTGCTTTTGTCTGTGTTTTAAGAAGTTAAAGTTTCATTAGGTCCCATTTGTTTATTTTTGCTTTTATTTCTGAAATTNATTGTATCTTATAATTTATGTAAAACAGTTGCTCCATAAATGTTGTTTGAATTGAATTTGTATAAGACCAATCAGTAGAAAATCAAGGAAGATACCATCAGTGCAACCTGGAGAACGAATGAAATTTTCAAAGAAAGGAACAAGCCTTCACAGGTGGCCCAGTGGGAAAGAATCTGCGTGCCAATGCAGGAGACTCGGGAGACACAGATTTGATCCCTGGGTTGGGAAGCCATAGAGGAGGAGATGGCAACTTACTCCAGTATTCTTGCCCAGGAAATCCCAGGGACAGACGAGCCTGGTGGGCTACAGTCCATTGGGTCACAAACAGCATGACTGAGCAGCTGAGCACAGGCACAAGATTGAATTGCAAGATAAAGACAGGGCCCACCCCGCTGGAAAGTAGCACAAGCTAGGTCGTCGTGTGGACGGCTTCTCTAGAATAGATTGTGCCAATGGTGGGAAACTGATTAGAGGGTCAAGAGAATCCATTTAGCCTCCAAAGCTCTATTTCTGCAACCTCACCCTGGACAGTGTGTCCCTCAGAGCCTGGTGGACCTGCTTGTTTCGTAGGGTGTAGATGACAGGGTTCAGCAGCGGGGTCACCACCGTGTTCACAAGGGCAGCCTCCCTGTTGGAGTCCAGCCTGTTCACCTGCTTTGGTTTCAGGTAAATAAACACACAGCTGCCATACATCAGAGCGAGGACAATGAGGTGAGAGGAGCAGGTGGAGAAAGCTTTCTGTCGCTCCTTGGCTGATGGCAGTCGCAGGATTGTGACTACTATGTTGCTGTATGCAATGATGGTTACAACGAGGGATAGTAGAATGACAAATGAAGTAACAAAGAAGAAATATATTTCAACAGATCTGGTGTCAGAGCAGGAGAGATGAATTAAGGCGATAAGGTCACAGAAGAA